GGAGAAACAACAGAAAATGTCGAGTTTTGCGCGGCGCCGAGGCGAGAGCCACGTTTTGAAACCACCCGTCTCAATCCGTGAAGTTCTTGCAAGTGTTTAAAGCGAGTGCGCGCGGCGCTAAGGAGACAACCATAGTTTGGAAGCTCTCGTAAGTGCTTGAAAATAATGTGCCAGGCGCTACGGCGGGAGCCACATGTTGGAAGCGACCCGCCCTCCCTCTGTGAAACTGTTGCCAGCTTTCAAGCTTAAGGCTTCTACATGGGACAGAAACCTCAGTCATAAGAAAATGAATGGAGGGTGGGGAGATGGGCAAGCTCCGTTGGAAAGTCCCCCCCCTTGATAAATTCCCTATCCTGAATACTCCCCAGACCCCTCCCTGGGCGCGCTCTGGGCAAGACTCCTAGGCAAATCCAGCCGTGGTGAGGAGGGCTTCCCGGAGAGGCCCAGAAAAGCGACGACGAAGCAAGGGCAGCGCTGCGGACTGCGTAAACATAAAACTCCCGACGGTCCGCGCTGAATTCTTGGGTATGCGCTGGACCCCTGCGCCAGGGGTGGAGCCAAAGACGCCGCCAGGGGGGCCCCAGCGCCGATCAAAGAAATCCGCGCGGGGTTCCGAGAGTTTCTGTTGTCATTGTTTGTTCCCCGTTGTTGCTCACTGAACCTCCACCTCCACTGCCGGCCCGCTGCCGACCCCGCCCGCGGCGGCCGCGAGGAGTGGCCTGTAGCGGGCCAGCACGCGCTGCAGCCGCGCGGAGCCGTGCGGGCTGCTGAGCGCGAGGCGCCCGAGCGGGAGCGGCGGTCCGGAGGCGGCCCAGTGCTGCGGCTCGGGGAAGACGATCGGGGGGTGCGCGAGGTGTCCCTAGGCCCATGGGGTCCCTGGCTTCGCTCCACTTTGGAGCGTCCAAGGCCCTCTGGGCTTCGGCAAGGGCGCTCTGGAGGTCATCCAGGCCTCCTTCCTCGGACATCCCGAGGACACCTCAGCCTAGGGACACCTCTGGCAACGCCCGAGACGAGCGCGGCGGCCAGCGGCAGCAGGGCCAGCTGCAGCAGCATGCCCGAAGAGGCCTGAGCTGGGTGGTGAGGGCCAAAAAAACTCGAGCCCAAGAAAGCTGCGTGCGGCCACGCTCGCGCACAGTCTCCGCAGGATTCGCGACAACGGCCGTTGCTGGGGATGCTCCCCCTTCCCCCCTCCCCCCTGTGCCCTGCAACGCCACGGTTCGCGCCGGCGCCGTTTGGGAATTGCACGGGGCAGCTAGTGCCAAGAGAGCGCCTGCGCGCATGGTGACGTTCCCAGCCCCCTCGCCCCTTCCCCCCCCCATAACGGCCGCTATCGCCAGGGGCTGAGAAACGGGCCCCTCTGCCCCGCGGTCGCAGCACCCCAGGTCCGACCTCCAGCCTCGGTCCAGGCCTGGGTCAGGGTCGGAGTCTGGCTCCAGATCTGGATCTGGATCTCCCCCCCGTCCCCGTACACGAAGTGCGTTTTCCTTCTGCCCCAAAACAGTGCTTCCACTCGGGGGCTCTCGTTTTGTCTTACTTCAATGATGAGTGAGCGTTTTCTTATTCGGCGTTTCCACAGTGGGCGGAAGGGGGGGGGAGGGGGGGGTCAGGCTCCGGACCTCTGCTCAATGCGGCTGTTTGGAACCGTGCGTTCCCCAGGGGGGAGACTCCCCCTGCTCGAAACAGGCGCCCCAAACAGCCAAGATCTACTCAATGGAGGGGGGAAGGGGGGGGTGCAATGAAGTAAACGATGAAAAAAAAACGATCGGCAAAACAATGAATGAATGAACAAAACAACGATCGGCCGAACAATGATTGAAAAACGATCGTCAAACCAAGGCATGAATCAAAGATCCCGCGCCGATCGGCAAAACAACGAATAACAACAACGATCACTTGGACGGGTCTGCCGGTTTTGAATGCCGCGTTGGCGCCCCGTGCCTGGTCGTGGACGTTCCCCGGTGGGCGCCCTCGGTGCCCTCGGGGCCGACAGGCGAGAGAGGACAAATCTGACGGGCCACGTTTCCCACCAACACTGCCCATAGGCAGGAGGGGGGAGAAGGGAGGATGGGGAGGTCCTCCTCCTCCTTCTCATCCTCCGTCTCCTCCTTTTCCTCCTCCTCCTCCTCCTCCTCCTCCGCCGCCTACCTATGGTAGTGGTGGAAAATCGGCCCATCAAAGTTTGTTCAGTCGAGCAGAAAAATCCGGCAAGTGAAGAAGGACAGTTCGACAAGCGAGCCTGCAAACTGGGCAGGGCGAGCCGGGAAGCCGTTCCCATGCGAACGGCGAAAAAGATTTCTCGGGTGAACAAGGAAGTGACAGGACTCTCCTGGAAGAAACCTCCAAACGCATCGAAAGGCCTGAAAGCCTCGATGAATGACCAATCCCGTCGATGCCGCTGAAAACCCAGCGCACATCAGGGACAACAGGCCCTGTGAAGTCAACCGTTTCTCCGACCCCCATTCCACGAGGTAGTGGTTCACCCCGAAATCGCCCCGTGCGTCCAAATCAAACACCTCAAAACAAAACGCCTGCCCTAATTTCGGAAGCTCTACTCTTGGCTAGAGGGTCTCGGCCACCACGATCTGTGACTTTTTCAGGGCGGAGGAGCCGTTGATATCGGGAGCGGGATTCGCAAACATCCGGGTACTTCGCGAAGCAGACGCGAACGCAAACATCAAACATCGAAGCGGCAACCCGATGGTGACGACAACGACGCCAAACGGTAACCAAACACACAATCACTCAATAAAGCTACGCCATGAGAGTACTCCAAATTTCATAATAGTGGGGGGGGGGGTCAAAAAAGTGTTTGACGGCCGGTCTGGGACCCCCCCCCCCAAGACAGGCAACAAAAGGTCCAAAATCGAGACCCCCCCCACAAATGTGTTTGACGAAGCCCGTGAGACCCCCCCCAGAAGCAGACCCCCCCCATTGTTATGAGATCCGGAGTAGCTGCACCGACAAACACGTTCATGTTCAGAACTCGAGCGGAATGCGTCCATGCGTCCTGCCGTGTCCACCTGCGGTTCTGCATTGTGGGGCAGCCTGGGCAGAGCGAGTCACACCCGCTACCGCGCCTGACTCGCTGATGGGGGAGGGCAGGATGTCGAGCTCGAGAGCGGCTGCCAGGCGTGTTTCCAATGACGCGTGCTTTTACGACATGTCCGTGCCCTGGTTTACGGGGTCGCTCCAGAGACGCCAGGCCTGATCATCTTGGCATGAGGAATCAAGGAAAAGGGTCCTGCGGGGGAACGGGTCGTGGAACCCAGGGATCTGTTTGGGACCAGCCGTCACGAAGCCTCTCTGACGGCCACGAGGCCAAGAAGGTCTCCAGGGGAGCCGAGAACGGCGAAACCATCTCAGGACACCTGTCCCTCAAGAACCCTTCCTTCTCTTCACGGTGAGCTGGGGCCGACACGCAGCCGTCCCCGGCCCCCTCCCGAGCTCACGAGCGGCGAACGCATCTCGGGGGGAACGCAAGGTGGCGGATAGCAAAGGTCAGGGTAGAGAATCAGCTCACGTGGCTGATTTTCCCAGCGCCTTCCGGCGCCGGGAGGCGCCCGTGCATCGAGGAATGAGCCCGGCGACGGGGCCGAAACCAGCCGCATGCAGCAGATTTCGTACCCCCCCCTTTCCCTATCGCCCAGGGACCGACCACAAAGACGTTTAAAACGAAATGGCGCTTACAACGGAAAACGAAACGAAGCCCAACGTTTAAATCGAAGGTTTAAAACAACGCCAGTGCCAAACAAAAACGAACGACGAAACGGGGCACTGAAAGCAACGACGAAAAACGAAACGAAACAGCAGCGAACAACGAAACGAATCGCAACACAAGGGCCCAAACCAAGCGCTACACAGCGCTGTGGTCGGTCCTTGCTATCCCCCCCTGTCGTTCGGTCCGAGTATCCATAGCCACGCTCCCCTGGACTGGCACCCGGGGACCGCGATCTCGGGGACACGCGGCCGCACGGGCACGCTCAGCGCGGGGAAATTCCGCGAGGAGCTCCCTGCGGCGAGCCCAAAGGGGGGGGACGCGAGAGAGGGGGCGGGCCTGCTCCGAGGGCAGGGGGGGGCTCCTCCGAAGCCCTCGCGCCTTCGGAGCAGTCTTTTGGAGGCCTGGAAATTGGCACCAACACCAGCACAAGAGGTTGCCTCCACATGGGGAAATTGATCCTAGATTTCGGTGTTGGTGGTGATATTTCGGTCACCTTGGAAACCAACATATGACCACCATCACCGAGATTGGGATCGTCCTCCCTCGGTGGAGGCACACCGCCGATCTTGGTGTTGGTGTCAACCTCTAGGCCTACGAGTCTTCCAGGCCCTCTCCGAAGAACAGAGACGGCTCCTCAGAAGACGCGCGTCGGGGACCTTCTGGCCCCAGTCGATCCAGGCCCAGGTCAGCAGGAGACCACACAGCTGCAGTGCAGGACCCCAAAAGAACTGCAGCGCAGGTCTTCACAAACCCGGGTCAGCCAGTGTGCGCGGCCGCCTCGCGGCCACGAGCGGCTCGCTCACCCGGCTCGGCCAGAGGTGCCCTGGCTGACCCCCGCCTGCATCGACCCCCGTCACTTCGGCTCCGAACGCGCGGGCTTCTGAGAAGCCTGGCCGCGTTCTGGGAAGGCCTGCCCCCCCCCCCCTCGCCCGGGAGCGGCCAAGGAGGGGGGTGTCCAAGAGGGGGGGGGGTGCAACTCATGACCGGCGGCACGTGCGCGGCCCAGCGGGGGGGGCCAGGGACGTGCCGAAACGAGAATGGCGCCATGAGATCTGGGGAGATATCAGGGCCCACGCCAGGACATCCACCCCGCCCCAGTCACCACCCCCCTCTTTGCCGCCCCCCCGACTCGCTTCCCCCCTGAGCGCCCCGTCGGAAGGCGCCCCGGATCCACGAGGTCGCGGGCCAGGGGCCAGGCCTAACCAGCCTCGAACGTATCCCCATCCCTAAGATGGGCGAGCAAAAAAGCGAGGACAATCTTAGGGATAGGCCCTCAAAAACTGAGGGAATCCTTAAGATCGGCATCGAGGTGAGGTAATGTCAAACATAGGGATAGGGATATGTTCCAGGCTGGTAAAGGCCCGCGAGGCGGGGACTGCGGACGCGTCCTCGCACCCGAAGCGGCGCACGGCCTACGCTGGAAGCCGCGCGACTCCACGAGGCGCTGGCGCCGCACCTGGTGCCACGGAGGTGTTTTTTGGCGCGCCCGAGAGGGGCGGAGATACAAAGAATGTGGTGCCCAGCAGTGAACTTTGTGCAGGCCTGATCGGGCAAGAGCGGGAGACTCCGAGGTTGTCTGCTTGGCTCGTACGGGGAAGGGTGCTGGCGACAGCAGGGCGGCGGACAGCGAGGATGCTGGCGTGGATGGGGAGGGCGGCGACGGGAGCAGGAGAACAGTCAGTAGGAAGACAAGCGCAAGGACGAAGCGGAAGATATGGAGGAGGACGGGCAAAAGGAGGAACAAAGCGAGGGAGGAGGAGGACGACGACGACGATGGCGAATGTTAACGACAAGGAACACGAGGAAAAAGACGTCGAAGAAAGGGGCGGCCCTCGCCAGGAACGGGTACGGAACAAAATGGGCACAATGCCCAACAACAAATTGTCCGAAAACCCGACAGCAGCCACTGTTGGGCATGCTGCTCTTTGCCTCATGCCGACAACATCCGCGGCGACATCGACAGCGACTTGGGCAGGCACTGTAGTCGGTCGTTGTACGTAGACATTCAGATCGTACCGAATTTGGGCGCGGGGCCGGCATGGTTCTACCCAGATCAACAGGCGTGGGAGAGGTGCGGCGGCGGCCCTTCTAGAGCAGCACGCAGGACGGTGGCTGGGCCACGCGGCGGGCGAGATCGGAAAGAGAAGCATCGAGGGGGGGACGGGCAAGGAAGAGGAGTGGATGAGGAGGGTGTCGTCGGAGATGAGGGGGCGGAAAATAATGATGATGATGTTGATCATGATAACGATGATGTTATTGATGATGATCGTGATGATGCTGATGAGATTGAAGAAGGTGATGCTGATGATGATGCTGATGATGATGGTTCCAATGATGATGTTGGCGAGGTGGTGGCGACGATGATGAGATTGCTGATGCTGTTGGCGATGAAAACGATGATGATGATACTGCGGATGCTGGTGTTGATGATGCTGTGATGCTGGTGATGGCAACAGATATAATGATGATGCTGGTGGCGATGAAAACAATGATGATGATACTGCGGATGCTGATTACGATGGCCACGACGGTGAAGATGATGACGACGCTGACAACGATAATTTTTCCTTGGCGTTCGGACCAACATCTGATGTAAAGACATTGCGCACAATGAAATCAGACTTCAATGATCCGTCGCAGAGGGCCAAGTGTCTCGCATTGCCCCGCATGGGCCGTGCTCCCAGGGTGCTGCGCAGAGGGGCCTCCTGCGCAACGCATGCCGAGCAACGTGAATGTGCTAGCTGAAAAGATGTTCCGCCGCTTCGTCTTCGGCGTTTGTATCGAGCTCGAACTCAGGTGGGGCCTCCGCCTCGAATAGCTCCTGTGCTGGCACGACAGGAGGATGGGTTGGAGGCACGGCGGAGGAAGGGGGGTACTCCACCGTGACTGCGCCGCTGCATGCGGGGAGGTCTTTGCCTCGAACAAAAAGTGACACGGCGCTGGATTGCCTCCTCTCCCCTGCTGCCTGCATCATGCCATGCAGGTTCATGCTGGCGAAAGGCTGGGCTCACTGCTCGAGGGTCTCCAGCCAGTGGCCTACTTCTTCCTCGAGCCATCCCGCCGGGGCCACGCCTCTGCGATGCACCGCTTGGCCCTCGGCCTCGAAGGCACGGCTGATCAAGACTCGGCCCTCCCATGTGGGCGCGCCGATCACCAGCTTCGTCTTGGTGTCGTCGTAGCACTTCTCCAGGCGTACGAAGGAGATGACGTCGAGGAGATCCCCCTTGCTGATCTCGGCCTCCGCCTCGATGTCCTCGGGCTCCGCTCGGAGCAGGTAGTTGCGGATGGCCCCCTTCATGGATCCCCCCACGTCGCACTTGTGCAGTCCTTCCAGGGCCGCGAGCGCGAGGGGCGGGGCTGGGGGCCCTATCTCCTGCAAGCGTTTCTTGTCCTCTGGGGCGCCGCTCTTCCTGAGGGAGTCCAGGGTGTGCTTGTAGCCATCGAGCTCCTGCGTGATGGCTATGATCACTGGATGCTCGTTGCTCATCGTGTAGGTGTCCGTGCTGCTGCTGCTGTTCAGCCTGGTTTTGTGTGTCGTCTGGAGCAGCAGCTTCAAGGCCGGCCGTGGCAAGTCCATCAAATTCTTGTCCTTGCTGGTCCAGACCTTGGGGTTGTGATTGCCTCGGCGCCCGCGGCGTCCTCCGCGGCGAGCTGGGCGTCGGCTGGGCTGGTCGGTCTTCTTGTCCTTCTCGCCGTTGTCTTCCTCGTCCACCTCGATGGGCGTGGCTGCTGGCGCGGCTGCTCCCCCTTCCTCGGCTGGTATTCGCGGTGATCGAGATCGCCTCTGCGTCGGCGGCGGCGGGCCTGGCTGGCGTGGGGCCTTTGCCCCCTTCTGGCCTGCAGCAGCACTGGGGGCGGCGCCAGAGCCCTTCGAGCCCTGGGAGGAGTCCAGCGGGAGTCGCCACGACGCTCTCTGCTTGGGCGTCATCCCCTGGTCCAGGAGGTAGCACAGGAAGAGTAGGAGTAGAGGAAACAGTAGCCACTCGAGGTGTCCCTTGCGATGTTGCATGTACTTCTGCTGCTGGACGCCGTGCTGCCCGTAGCCGTCGTAGTGGTAGGTGCCTCGCTCTGCTGCGTGGGTCGCTGCCTACGATGTGCCCCGCCGGCTGACGAATGGCGGCGCGCACAGCGGGGGCATCCTCGACGGCAGGCGAGGGGCGGCAGCTGGATGGCGCGGGACGTGGCGGGTGGGCGCTCGGGGTGGCCGTGCGCGTGGTAAGCCTTCTGTTGACAGGCTTGAGCATGGAACCCGATGGCGACGGTGGTACATGTCCTAGGACGTGAACTCGGAGCTTTTGCCGATCATGATATTCATGTTGGCATGCATGGTCCAACGCGTAGTCTCGTAAAGAACATGTAGTACATGTTGCTGGGACCCAGGGATATACATGATGCGTAAATTCTGGGATGCATCTGCCTGCTTGCCATGCTCGTCGTAAATGTCTAGCTGCGTGATCTATTTGTTGTCGATCTGTAACGTGGTCAATACCGCTGGCATACCGAGTCCTAGGCTCTTAGATTTGGTTTGATGTGTGGCGAGCTGTTCGAGCGTCCCGAACCGTTTCTGGCGCGACTCGACGTTGCACACGAAGGGGCGGTTCGTCTCGTCATCGGCGTCCGTCCTGTCGTATGTTGACGCCGAGGGGAGAGAGGAGGTAGTCACGCTGGCCTCGGGGGGAGCCCACTGAGTCGTCCAATAGGATGCCCTGAGAGCCCGAACGTCGCAGCTTAGAAAGGCCTCTCGAACCCACTCGTCGCCCCATAAGATTTTCACAACTCGAGGTTGCCACGCTTCCAGAAAGCTCTCGCCAGTCGTGCGAGACGATAGGCACATCAAATCGTCCGCGAGCTGTTTGGCCCACGGGTGCACGTTCGGGTCTGCGGAGACCTCGCCCTGCGAGTTGAGGGCGCCCGCGCTGGCGGGGCGGTTGCTTATGGCCGCCTGCTGCTCGAACTCGCACCTTCCAAAAACAGCCGCGAGAAATTGGCCTTGATGAGCGCGTGATCGAATGATGCCCTGCCACCAACTGAGCCTGCGCACGAGTAATTCGATGGCAGTCGGTGCAACTTGCCATTCAATAAAGACTTGCAGGGTGGACAGGGATCGATGATTGTTGTTCTCATCCTCCTTGTGTGCCGTTCCTCTGATCATTGATCGTAGTTTACGGGCTAACGAACTGTCGAGTCTATGGAGCTCTCTGGGGGTCAACGCATAGCTTTCGAGGCCCGACCAGACCCCCCCCGCGACATTGGACACGAACGCGAGTCGTTTGGCCTTCCAAGGTCCTCCAGAATACTAGTAGTTGCCCAGACGGCACCACCCAGTCTTTCCCAATTGTATGCGGGCCTCGACTTCACGACGATTGTTGTTAGCGACGTGTACATATCCCCCGAGATGAATCAAGTCCTGGACCGCATTCCCAGAGATTTTCCGTTTGGCCTCCTTCGTGGCCCCGTGGGCGCCCAGTGAGACCAGGGTGTCCTGCTTACTGATGTTCTGTGCGTAGCCGCCAGCCTCGAGGGCCTGGGAGAGCGTGTTGTTGTCGACCTTATCAATCTGCAGCGCCTGGAGGGACGTGCCATCTGGCACCGAGAGGATCTTGACTAAATCGTCGATGAAAGCCCCAAGGTGCGCATCATGCTCTTCACCAGGGGCAATGTACCTGAAACGGGTTTCCCTGGACCTGGGCCATCTCCTGGGACCACTGCACAACTACTGGATAGAATGATTCCATGAAAAGTGCAGGCTCGTTCAAGTCGCCCATCCTCCCTCCTGTCCCTGGTCGAAGAGCTATGCTGGCATCGGACGCCTGCAGAAAAACTACAGCATCCTGTCGACGCTGCTCCAGGAGGGGATGAAAATGTTCGTCTTCGTATCGGGGCGTGTGAGCTGCGACCAGTCGCTCGTGTGAGCCTGTCGCGAATGCGTTCCGCATGTCGTACGACTTACACAGAAAAGAAATTCTGGCTGCTCTCATCTTCCATATCAGAAGCTTAGCAATGAGCATGGGCGGCTCGCGGCGACGGGAATGAATGCCTCCGTGCGCCCGCGGTGGTGGGTCGAATTGGGTTCCATGCTGAACGAGTCCTATCCTGAGATACAAACGCCAGAAAAGATCGAAACAATGAAGCAAACGCACGCATGCATGAATATCCTGGATCACGTTGCCAATGGGGCTTTTCCCTTGTTTTGCCGATAGCGACCGCCTGACTAGTGAAAGCCTGGGCGGGTAGAGATCCACATCGATGGACGTGGGCAAGTCGTACGACGAAAGTCTGGTTGATGGTGGAGCTGACGTCATGGCCAATCGCGAGCTTCCGTCGACTGGGTTGGTAGACTCGCTCGGCGAGCGGGTCCGCGCACTGATAATCTTCGGCGTCATGTCCCATCCCTGCCCTTTGGGCGCCAGGGCGGGTCAGATACTGCGGGGCGAGGAGCATGGTGGTGAGTTCGATGGGCCACGCCCAAGGTGGGTTGTCGCGCCTCCGTTTTTTCCCTCCACAATCGTTTCTGCAGATGTTCGAGCTCTTCTGCTGCTGTCTCGATGTCGTGGAGCTCGGGGGCGCCGATGTGCTCCCCCACTGGTTGTATGTCGTTCGATTGGGCTAGTAATCGTGGAATAGATGTCGGGTCGTCGATATACATACTGACGTAGGCAGGCGTGGCCGAAAGTCCCCCTTGAACAGCTGGTTGAGTAAGGGCATATGTGTATTCGGCTGCGGAGGGGCGCGTAAATGGTAGTGAAAGGTATGATCTTCGTCGTGGTCCCGTCCGTCGTCCTGCTCGAATGCACGTCAGGTGTGCGACTCGGGAGAGGTCGCGTGTAGCCCACGCGTCGCGGATGTCCTGGTCAATACTGACTTTCCACCAGTGGTCCATCCAGCGTTGGTGTGTTCGCATTCGTCGTTGGATCTCGCGCAGGGTCTCACGGTTGAAAGGTAGTCGTCGAGCTCGGTAATCGGCACGCTCTTTAAGCAAGCGGAGGCGTTCAAGCCGTGCTTGTTGGTACCATTGTGGCTGTCCTCCTCCTTCCTTTGTATAGTACTTACGGTCGCATTCACGAATGATATGGGCGATGAGAGCGGTGTGGCGGGTCGGAAACTGATCCATCTTGACAACTCGGATGACCTCCCTGTGTTTGCTGATCTCGGCGTAGACGTCATTGAGGAAGGCCGAAGCCCCAGCGGATGTTATTGTTCTTGATGTTGGCACCGCTGACAGGCATCTTGATCTGCATGATCATGGGGACGTGGTCGGCAACGTGCAGTAGGCTGCGCAGTTTGGTGTGGATCTTCCAATTCAACTTCACGTATTTCACGATCTCCATGAGGTTGTCGTATCCGCTGAAGTAGTCGATGCGTGATCTGGCTTTGTTGGGCCCGTAGTAGGTGTTGCCCACGTCGATGTGCGTATTGATGGCTGTCAATTGATGGATCAGCATCTGGTCGTGGATAAAGCGTCCGAACTCGGTCTCGTCGCTGGCCTGGTAGCTGCCGATCGCATTGTCAGTATGGGGCTGTCGTGCCCGTCGTCCTAGTCCTTGGTCGAGGTCAGTGAACATGATGGGTGTGACGCGCGTGGGGGTGTTAGTGAGTGTCTGCAATACCCAGCTCCATAGTCGTCGGCATCCTGCTTTCCAATGTTGGTGTTGACCCGCTCCGTTCGGCCTTGGTGGAAAAATACGCTACAATGAGTCGAATGCGGAGCTGGCCTCGATGGAGCTCGACTGCGCCTGCGCGGCCCCGTAGGTCGGGTTGGGGAGGGTGTAGCACCTTGACAATATCTATCTTTCGGAAGCGGCGCTTAGATACCCCAGTGCTGCAGCCCGCTGAGTTATTTGTGTGGGCCCCCCTGCCCCATCCGAAGTGGACCCATGTGTGGTGTAGGCTGTCCTCAAGATGGTGCGGGGCGTCGGTAGTGCGTTGGCGTATCTTGGTGCCCACGTACATCATGATCTGTATAGCACGGCGCGTGTCGGAGATGTGGTCAAGGCGTCCTGGTACTCCCTTTGAGCGAGAATGGGTTACATCCCAATATTGTGATGGCCTTCGTAGTGGCTTGGTGTGGGCGTACGTCAGGGTCAGGGCGGCGTGGGGTTTCCAGAGGGCCAGGCGGGGGGGCGCGGCAAGACGAGCAGCGCGGTCGCCTCCATCGGCTGTCGGGGGAACAACATTTTTTTTTTGATCCGCGGGTCGAGAGCGCGCCTCTCCCGGTCGAAGCGAAGCGGGCCGCGCGAAGCTTGAATTAACCAGGGATTGGGGAGGAAAGGGGGGGGCGCAGCCTCAGAACGAGGCTGGGAGGAGGCAAAGCCTCGGGATCAGGCGGTGCCGTAGTCGACGTACTGTTAAGGGGACAACAAGTGGCATAAACATAAAATCTCGGGGGTCCGCGCGGATTTCTCGGATCGGCGCTGGGGCCCCCCGGCGGCGCGCGCCAGGGAGGGGGGTCCAGCGCCGATCCGAGAAATCCGCGCGGCCCTCCGAGTTTGTATATTTATGCCACTTCTTGTTCCCCTAACTGTGACTACAGTCGTCGGCCTGACCTACGGACAGATGCTGGCCATCGCTCGGACGTCCATTCCCTGTGTGTTTGTTCAGTTTCGTGCGTGGCGAAATGATCAAGGATGCTCCTCGCTGGTCCTCGCCGAAGGAAAACTGCACACGTCCGAGCGATGCAAAGGATGAATCAGGAACGAACCCCCCTTTCTAAGGAACGGTGAGTACTACGTAGCGCGGACGGAACGATAGATAACGCACGCAAGCCTGAGGAGCGACCGAGCCTCTCTTGAAAAGCAAGCGTTCCTTCTTCAGCTGCCCCACCCCAACCCGAGGACACGAATTTTGGCCTTTGGGGGGGGGGGGGGGGCACGGGGCTCCCCCGCCCCCACTGGAAATGGAGGGCAGTCCGGGGACTTCGTGTTGGGTTTGGGTGATTCGGTGGGCGGTGAGCGCGCCCGAAATACTCCAACGAACAACCTGGGACGCCGAAGGCGTCGCACTCCACATGCTATCCAAGAGACGGTCTGGATCGCCGAAGCAGCAGCGCGCCACACATCACCCAAACACACATCTGGGATACCGAACATTCGATGCCCGTCTGCTCCTCTACACCCGACGCCTGAACGGGGAACGCGGCAGAGAATCATCCGCAACGCGGGTACATCTCAACGGCCTGATCGCCACGCGGGTACATTTCAAGCTCTGGGAGACCACCATCGAGCACGTCAACCATCTTTCCGACGCGGCCGATGTGCACACCCTCCGGAACAAAGACGTCGCGGCCAACAAAAAGGGAGTCAATGGCCACCCGCTGTCTTGGCACAGTTCCACCAACGACAAATTGTTGACTGCATGCGGATACTGGTCAATGTCATCCAGCTAATGAATCTCACGATGAACCGTCACTGCCGCAATGCGATCACAATCGCCGAGGCGATTTGGCACTAAGAACTCCAAGGCGGCCCAGAGGCCTGGACCTCCGGCCCTCCATGAGAGCCTCACTTGTCGCGAGGGTCGTGCGCAACTCCTGCGTGGGGGCCGTTGGTCAGTCGTACCAGCAGGGGCCTCGGCGGCGGCAAGGGGCTCGACTGGAGAAGCCAATACGTGGAAGGCCTCACCGTCAGCGTCGTGCTCGTGCATCATCTGGCCAGCCATGTCGCTCTGAACTGCACCACTTGAAGCCAACGCGGCTTCACCCTTGCCTTGTAGGAGCTGCTAAAAAGAAGTATCCACATGACGAGATGGCTCCTCCTCACGAGCAAGACCATGATGAGGCTGCAGTTCGCCCGCGCGAGCATGCCCCATCTGAAGAACTCGCTTACCAACACGATCATCAGGAAGAGGCTGGGTACCCGCACTGCCACAATCACAAGGAAGACGCTGCACACAGACACAATCTGCGCGAGAAAGTGGCTCGCCCTGGTAACCATTCAGTCCATACATCTGAAGGTTCACGATTGTCGCCTGCTCCTAAACAGGGTGAAACTTCACAGCGGGCGTACCCAACGGAAAGCGAACGACCATGGGCAAATCCTCATTACCTTGGGTCTGCGGCTGTTTAATCCCATGCGCGATCGAGCTATTGGATCTGCCAACGATCGTAAACGATGCGCCACCACCTGATTGACAAGAGGACTGTGTGCGAGGAAAACGCCGATAGGGAGCCCCGTGCCCGTCATCAAAATCACCGTCGGAAGCATCAGCATCACAACGATGCGGAAAACCACGAGGCACACCAGAAGCAAACACCGAATGACACCACATTTGCACGATGGACAATGTTTGATCCGCGGGTCGAGAGCGAGCCTCTTCCGGTCGAAGCTAAGCGGGCCGCGCACAGCTTTAATTGACGGAGAGGGGAAGGCAGAAGGAACTGCACGATGGACAGACAACCCATCAAATGGCGGTGCCCGCGGTCGACGCGTGCGAGACGATCGAGAGAGACAAGCCGTGAGTTCAGAATGCCAGTGGCCAATGTAGCAGGTGCAGCGGCTGGGACGCCCCGATCCACGAGGGAAACTACGCAACGTGAACGAAGTGTTGCCTCCGTCGGGTGCAGGGTTGACCACCAAGCGAGGAACTCTGGCCGCTGCGGTGCACCGCAGCCAGAGAAGACGAGAGGCAACCCCCACTGGAGGCCGAAGTGCGGAGGGCGCAGATCAAAGCAGGAGCCATGACCACGCCAACCAAAAGCATGTGTCTGGGGAAAGGGCTGATGATTCTGGGGTGGTGATGGCGATGGTAATGGTGATGACGACGACTTGGGTGGTGGTGATGACGGTGAGGAGGTGGCCGAGACCTAGGAGGAGGAAGGGTAGAATGGATGAGCAGAATGGGGGGGGAACATGGGAGAGATGGCAGAGAAGGCGCAACACATTCATCATTCATCGGAGGAGGACGAGGAGGGCGCGTCGTGCCAGCAAGGGAGGAGGAGGAGGAGGAGGAGGAGGAGGAGGAGGAGGAGGACCACTGTCAATCCGAGGCGCATCGACGATGCTGCAATAATGCCTGCATCAACGCTCCCCCTCTTCACATTTGCCTTCTCAAGAAATGATGTTCCTTGCGGGCAGTGCCCCATTGGAAGACAACGGCCCGAGAATCCCCAATCGCACCACAACGCTAATCCTGGGACGTCAGCGCGGCAAATCAACGTGCCTGTTGCGTCCTGAGAATCCTGAAGCCTGCCAAATCACCATTCCGGGGATTTCGGCGCTGCGATATCCGCGTGGCAGCTGCGCCCCGGCAGCCCGCAACCTGTGCCAGAACGCCGTTCCTGGGCCTCTTCAGCCGTACGAAGCCTTGAACATCCGGCGTACGTTGCAGACGAATGTGCGCAGCGCTACTGCGAGAACCGCGTCTTGAAAAGGAACCGCCCTCCATATTTGAAGCTGCTGCAAACTCTTGCAGTGAATGTGCGTGGCGGTGACGCAAGAGCCACAATTTTAGAAACGAGCCACCCTCCATCCTTGAAGCAGTGGCAACGATTTAACACGAATGTCGGGCGTGCGCGGCGCGATGGCGAGAGCCACATTCAAAAAACGAGCCGCCCTCCATCCATGAAACCGTTACAACTTGCAAGTTTCACGATCATGAGCGGTGTGGACATCGGAATAGGAAACGCACGGCCCCCCCGTACCCACACTGGGGGTGCGCCAGGGAGGAGTTATACCTCTAAGAGAATGGGTGGACATCCCCATCGGGCCCTACAGCTTGCGGGATACAGCGTCCGAAGCTGGAACTCTGCCATCACTGCCGCTTGTAAGATTTGTCTTCGGGGACGCCAGTAGGCAGCGGATACGGATATTTTTGGTCTCCCCGGGGCCCGAACATATCCGAACCCACCGCATGCCGGAATCCTTGAAGATCGATCCCCCAGGCGGTTTTTTATGAACAACATCCCTGCTTCGGGCGACGAAGCTGAGTCGGCGACGTGCAGTCGGATCCAGGACTGAATAACATCATTCAAGAAGACGAGACCCGCCGTCGGCCAGCACATACAGAGCATCCGAAGGCACCCGCCCCCAGGATTCACAGGAGCAGCCAACAAGCGCGAAGAACATTAGGGTTAGGTCGGGCGTGTCCTCTTACAGGCGGATTTTGGACGAAAAACATAAGAGGAGTCAAAGAATAATAAACAAGTTGTCAAACATACTAAATAAATCGCCCCCTGACTCTGTTTGGACTCTTTTTGAGCTTCCTCCTGTAAGGGGGCGCGCCCGACTTAACATTAGGGCACCCTCCCCGAACCGACCACGAATAACAGAGAGGTAATGTCAGCCTGTAATTAACAAATCCGCGGGGGGCGCGCGTTCAACAAATAGTTTCCCTGCTCGGGCGAATCGCGGGGTGGCGCCCGCCAGATTGAAAATCAACGGGGCGGCGCCGGTGACTAGTAGCGCCGACGCCTGGCCGCCAGCAAAAGGCAAGGGGGGGGTGTTACCTTCCCCGAACCGACCTCGAGCTTATTCCCTGGTCCGACTTCAGGCGGGCGCGGGGGGCCGAACCCAAGCGCACAGGCCGCTGCTATCGCGCCGATGTCGGCGATCGGGGGGCCCCGGTGGGATTCGCCTCGAGATCCTGGCAGTAAGACTTGTTTTATTAGGCAGCGTTGGGGACCGCTTCATGGACCCTTCACCCCGAATCACACGAGCGCCTCACTGTCACGCCACAGAGCGTGGTCCCACGATTGGGCAGTGTGCAGTCCCCCCGATGAGAACTGAGAACGGGGCTCCGAGACTCGGAAGCAAGTTGCCCCCTCGTTCTGGCCACTCCCG